CTTTCAGCAAGCGGACCTGACCTAGGGTGGATTTTATACTGGGTTTTTTAGGAATTTGGAAGACACAACTTTAAAATTTGGTTTAATTCGGTTTTAAGGGGGGGATTGTATATATACTTTGGTTTTAAATATGTTGTGCGCCGCCCTGAGTCCCGCTGGGAGAAGGGCGGCATATAAATTAAATTAAATAAATAAATAATAAATAAATAAACTATTCCATACATGGATTGTTTTACATATCTATATAACAGATTTTAAACAGATATGAAAACACTTATCTTCAAGTTTCCAGTCTGCAACTTATTTGGCACATGTATTTCTTCATATACTGCTGCAGTGACAAAAAATATGAAGATTACAGGTTGATAAGCATGATCACATGCCAGGGAACTGTATATTTCTCATATTTCTGTTTCACTGTTTTTTTAAGATTGCTGTTTTTAATACTGGTGCGCATAGAAACTTATCTTTGGGAGCTAAGTGTATATCAGCTGATCATTTTTAAATAAATGAAGATAATAAAGCATGCGGGCACTTTTGTTGAATAACATAATTATTTTAATTATGATATATCATTTTATTTCCACATCTTTGTCACTGGGATATGATAGAACTAAAAATAAAGTGAGATTTCACTGGCTATGTTTCCAGTAGATGATACTTTGCTCTAAAAGATTCCTCAGATGTAAGAAGTTGAAGTATAAATATTATGTTTTTATAGAGGTTAGTATGGTCAGAATTATATTTGGACCAGTTCTATTTTAAGACATTTCTCACTTAATAAAAAGAAGCCAATAGTTTGTTAGAAAGTGAAGCTCAAAATGATTTTTTGGAATGTGTGGGAGTAGTTATCTACGTAGAAAGCCTTTTCTGAACGTTGGAAATGCATTATTATTATATTATTGTCAGAGTGCCACAAGTGTGTCTTACATGTGATAGGCTCAGGTTTGTTTTGAAAAATAAATGATGTCATTCAGAGAACAACTATATAAGTAGTATGAGTACAATATTTAGTTATTTGAGCTCTCAGACTTTAACAGGATTAGAAATGTTTACTATTGTTTTCTTTGAGCTTTGTTTCTAAATAGAGGATTTTGGATTAGGAGAATTTGAGATATTTTTCAGCCATTTTATCTGAATTGTAACTGAATTAAAAAGAATTAGAATTAAAAGCTTGAATCTTTTTCAGGAAAACTTGTATTACACGAGAACAAATTTATTATGAAGTTATTTAATTTTCAAAGACTTAGCTGCCCTACTTTGATGGGCCAAACATTCTGGTTCTGATCTTCAAAATTTGCAGCTCTGAAGCTGAGTGTCTTGTTCTTCTACAACCTTCTTTTTCTCATGGAGAAAGGAAACAGCCAAGCATAATGCTACAGGTTTAAACCTTTGTTGTTGTTATTTCTGTTTTGTTCATATACCACTTCAGAATAGTCATTGATGGTAAAGATTTGTCTAAATATGTAGAAAGTATATTTGTGTGTAAAAGGTTATTGTCATTATTTGCTGATACCGGTGTGGATAGAAGGTGAAATGCTATATTTTGGAGATATTTCAGTTATTTTTAGCCCTTCAGTATTATGGAATGTATGCACTTAACTGTAATATTTTGGGAAAAATCTAAATTAGATTTTCTTTAATGTCTTACTGATTTTTGTATGAGAAGAAGTTGAGTTGGAACTATATCCTAGTCATAAAGTAAACTTTTTCTTAAGGTGTCTGTGCAAAAACACCTTACTGAAAGAGTTCAGGCCATGGCTCAATAGATCTGGACAGAAGTAACTTTCTTTTTACTGGCTAGTGTTTTTATTTCCCTCAGCCTTTTTGTATTTTTTGATTTAGTGTAGTTCAGATTCATGGATTTTGATATGCTTTATCAAATGTTGTAATATTTAAGCCATTAGGATTATGATGCATTCTTCTGATGACTTTCTTTCAGTAATTGAAAGCTACATTGTTTTATTATGCACAATTATTTGATGGTAAAATAGTTCTAGTGATACTGTTCAACTGTGAAAAATAAAATAAGGTAATGAAAAAACATGTGCATTCATTAATTATGATACCATATTAATGTCAGATAATTTTGTTTGGTAAGTAGACCAGGCTAGCTGAGTCTTCTGCTTTATGAAAAGAGAAAATATATTCTACATGAAATTGTAAAAACAGAAATATTTACTTAGTAAATGTGTAATTTATTTATCTTTTAAAAATTAGCGTTTTCCACTAATAAAAAAATGAAGCAATATATTTTTGTTTGGTGCAGATTTCATATTTTACAGCCATAGAGTAGTAGTATCATTTTTGTTATTTTTCTGTTAGTGTTATAACAGAACTATGAACCATTAGGTCATCCTTTCAGATATATTTCATTATATAAACAATGAAACAGAATGACAAAGCATGTGGACAAAAAAGCAATGGGAGTGGGAGTGACTTCCAACTTCCTGCTGGCTTCCCTATTGACTTTGCTTGTGGGAAGCTTGCAGGGAGCTTTGGAAATCACAGTCGCATGACTGCGGCTAACCATGGTGACACTGCAGTGGCTACAACTTTGCAAATACAGATGATGTGAAGATCTTTGAAATTTCAGTTACACGGGAGTAATGGGTCTCAGATTTTGCATATGTTTTAAGTTATCAGATTTGAGGTACTTCAAAAAGGTTTGTGCAATGATGCACAGTTGGACTATTTAAAAGTTACAAACAGACCTGAGAGTTTTAATAACACCCAGATTTTTTGTAAACCAATAATTTATGTGCAGCATCTGATGTACAATATATACAGGATGTGAAATGTTTAAATATTTATTATTGGGTTTTTTAAATTTTGGGGTTTTCTTTTTAGGATTTTTCTAAGATTTTTTTTAGTATGTTACTGGTTTTCGTGTTTTTTATAGTTGATTGTCTACTTTTTGCTAAACCTTGATATGTTAGGTATGTAAAATATATATTTGGTTTCAGGAAGCTAAATTTTCAAACATATTTCATATGTAATGTATATTTGTCATTTTTGAGTTCTGTTTTGTCTTGAGATCAAGTAATAAATTATAGCTTGCTTTTAATTTATTTCCACTGAAATTGTGTTATTAGGTCTCTAGTGCTCTTCCTTTTTTTACAATTGATCTTTTTTTCCTTTATAGGTTGGAAATCCACGTGTTGAACTCACACTGTCAGAACTTCAGGATATGGCTGCTAGGCAGCAACAGCAAATTGAAAATCAGCAGCAAATGTTGGTTGCCAAGGTAAACTTCTATCAGACTTTGAAAATATACTCTCTAGAAGATTTTTTAAATCGGAGCAATATAGAAAATGATGTAATCAAGAATTGCTGCAATTCATTTTTCCTTGCTTAAAATGCTGCTACAAGCGAACATATGCAACTGACCTTATATTATACTCTTGAAATAAAAGTGAATTGGATTCTTAGTGAAGGTAGCATAATTGGTGATAAGTGCACCAATGCAGTAAAAATGGCCAGGATATTTTATAAGGCAGCAGTTGAAACACAACAGACATTTTATAGCTAGTTTTTGTTTTGTTTTATCAATAGTTCTTTGGTGGTAGTATGGCTTAAACTGCCCAGATTATTTATTTGATCTCTGAGAATAACTTTCTCTTTTTTCTTTTGGCTGGCTCAGTTTCATCTGTTTATTTGAGCTCAACAAATTTAGTATAGATGCTTTTAAATTAAGCATGGAGTGCTCTGTGAATGTCAAGAATGATAAGAGTTTCCAAAGGTTTTGGAATAGAGAGATATATGAATAGGGATTATAAGAATAGAGAGATATGAGATTCTACTCTCCATCTTTTGGAATCATAAATAAATTGCACCAATTGATTTCAGATTAATTAAAAAAAGTAAAAATATATAATTACCAGTAGTATATGGTTTTAAACATGCTTACAGTACAGCTAGACATGAATAGCATGTTCAGTTCTGGTGCGGAAAGAACAACCTATATTATGAAGGTACTGTAATGAATCCTCAGTGAGCAAAGATTATGGCATATTTAGTTCAGAAAAGGAGTAAATAAGTGAACATAATTGATATGTAAAAATTGTTCACGGTATAGGCTATTTGTCTGAACAGGGCTGTATTTTATGTATTAAAATTCCAAAAACCCCTCCCAATTGTAACATAATTGATATATACTTTCATATTGCAGTATTTTAGCATATGTTACTGAAAATATGTGCTGAATTAGAGGACAGAAATGAATTTTAGTTTTTGTTTTGTGTGATAACAAAAAAGTGCTATGAGAAAAAAAGGAAGCATTTCCTGCATTTGTTCAGTTTATAGTCTGTGATTCTAAAGAAGTGATATTTATCTTGCTTCAGATCTCCTTATCTTTATATGTTTGTAATCCTATGATAGTCACTGTTTCCTTTAGGAAGTTGTGTAATGGAGTGTTGGGACCAGTTTTTCAGTGGAAGGAAGCATGTTCGAGTAGCAGGAAGTACCCATTACAGGAAACTTGCAACTATGTTGGAATGAATAGTTCACTCCAATTCTTAAAGTGTATATGAGGTTTGATCTTCTTACAGGTTTGACAGGGAGTTATTATTTGTTTCTAGACTCAAAAGGAAAAAGATCAACAGGCAAGAAAGCTGTTAACTAATTTAAAGACTGGCTGTCTCAGCATGATTTTAATACTAAGAGACTGGTAATATTTTTCTAAAAATAAGACAGCATGATTACATGTTGTACTTGTTTTGATAGGAACAACGTTTGCGTTATCTCAAGCAACAGGAACGCCGTCAGCAACAGTCTGTGTCTGAGAGTGAAAAGCTTCAGAAACTTAAAGAACGAGTAGAGACCCAAGAAACCAAGCTGAAAAAAATCCGTGCCATGAGGGGGCAGGTGGACTACAGCAAAATTATGAATGGCAATTTGTGTATGAGTAATTTCTCTCCATTTCTGTAATGCTTGTTACTTGACTTTTTAAATTCAGTATTTGATTTAGATATAGTCACATACCAAGATACCTGTCAAACTACTGTGGGTACTTCAAATATGGAAAAGCAATCATCTGAGCCATTTTGAATATGGAAGCCATTTCTGCTATTACACTTTTATTTTCCACCCCCCCTCCATTTTTCATGATAGAGAGAACAACTGCTGTATCAGAAGATAGCCAAGTTCACCTTATTTTTTAGCACGTTGTGACCACACACTAGATTAAGAATGAAATATAAAAGTTCATGTGTAGTTAAAACTGTTAAACTTGGTATGAATTATCTGAGCAATGCAAGGCATTTATATATTTTAGTAAGCCAGGATTTTTTTAAAAAAAAAATATGGCCTATTATGTGAGCTGTAATGATCTAGTTTGCATATAGCTCACCATGATGGAGGTCCGACAGTCTCCCACCCTTTTAATCTTCCAGAAGGCACCCAAGACTTGGCTCTTCCCCCCAGGTGCTGAGATAGGCTGAGGTCATAGTGGGAGGGGACATAGTCCGATTTTAAGATAGGTATCTTTACAAATGTTTTAAATACAGTAAGTTAAATAAATATAATTCTGATACATTACAGATTTACATACCATGCTTATTCAAAAAGGAAAGCACATGATCAATCATATTCAAATCAGAAGAGTTATTCAGTATTAATATTTTCAATTTTTACTGTTTTTAGAGAATCTCTTAATACTATTTCTTTCAAACATATTTACAAATGCATACACTGATTTTCTTAAGTCCTTAAGTATAAATGCAGGCTTGTTTGTTTATGACATTTATAGGATGGTTGTGGCATAGTGAGCATCCTACGCTTTGAACATAGAGCTGGACTGTACAATTTAGGGTTTAAGTTTTCATGTCAATATTCTTAGCTTCTCACATTTGTCCCTTAATGCTTATAAGTCCTGAGCGTAGGGAACAGAAATAAATTGGACTATTTGTGTATTTAGGGATCAGAAAACTTACGGCATGAGAATACCATAATGAACTTCTGTCAGATCACAGTTTCTACATTGCTCATTCTTATTTTGCTCATAGAGATATAATGCAAACCAATAAAGGATGATATTTGTAGATCTGGGTTGATATGAGGGGTCCTTGGTGCTCTTTGAGCTTGGTTGTTTTCTTGCAGATGTTTCATTACCCAAACTAGGTAACACCATCAGTGCTAGTCTGCAAGAAACTACAAGAAAACAACCAAGCTCAGAGACCACTAAAGACCCCTCATAAAATGCAACGATTGCAAGCATATAATTCTAAAGTGTTGCATGTAATTTCTGATGCTCATTGATATTTGCTTCTTTTGTTTTTATTTTAATTGTAGCTACTGAAATTGAACATATCAGCACCATGTTCCAGGAGAAGCAACAAGAATTACAAGCTGCAGTATTAAAAGTGGACCAGCTTACTCAACAATTAGAAGACCTAAGAAAAGGGAAATTGAATGGGTTCCAGTCTTACAATGGACAGATGACAGGACCTGCAGCTATAGAATTAAAAAAATTATATCAAGAGCTACAGGTAAATAATTATTAGCAGAAGTGTAGCCTTTTTTCTAGCTCCTTTGGTCATTTCTCTATAACAAAATAAAACAAAAATAGAGAATCTATCAGAGTTGAACAGGACCCATCACTATGTTGCACTAATAGTTCAGCCATACACATTTATTGGGTAACTCCTACAGATAATATTTGAGTTATGACAACAATTGGGGCCAGAATTTCCATCACTAAACAATTTCGTCATAAAGTGTAATGACAGTCTTGATTGCCATTCTACCCCCAAGACCGCTTGACTAATTAAGCAAGGACATCATGTAGCTGCAACATGGGGAGAGGCAGGAGGAGTTCCAGGCAAGGAGGCTGGTGGGTGAGAGCTACAGGTGGGCAGGTGAGTGCTGTGAGTGGCCTCTACAGAGTGAGATCGTGAGAAAAAGTGCTGGGAATGATTTGCAGACTCCCGCCGGCTTCCCCATTGACTTCGCTTGTGGGAAACTAGTTTGGAAGGTCACAAATGGAATCATGTGGGATGGAATACTGCAACCGTTGCAATTGCAAGCCAGTTGCCAGGCATCCAAGTCACAATCACATGACCCCAGAGACACTGCAATGACCACAATTCTGAGAACCGGTCTTAAGACCCCCTCATTCAGCACTGACATAACTTTGAATGGTTCTTGAATGAGTGGGCATAACCGGAGGACTACTTGTATCTCTGATAGTTTCTCCCATTCCACTAGATATAATAGGATGGGCACATTCAGGTCCCTTCTATGAAACTGTTATCCTGCAGAAATGAAAAGGTGTGCTTCTATGTCACAGTGCCTGCCCTGTTGATTGGGCACTGCCTCTTCCTGAAATTTAGATGATCTCATCTGTCTTTGCTTTCCAGAAAAGGCTGTTAAATTAGGTTTTTTTCTCCACGTGTGAGGGACAGCATATTAGGAAACCTATTAGTTAGCTCCACTTATTTTCAGAATGTGTTCCCCAGCATATCATTTAAAGGCCAACTGGGGCTTTTCATCTAAAATCGTAAGTGAAACACAAGGATATAAGTTTAATATATATAGGAAAATGTGCACTGTATGCTTGCTACAAATTGCTTTTCTGGAGAAACCACAGGTCTTCAAATTAGGGGAAAAGGAGACTGTAGTCTAAAATTACTTTAAACCCTGTTATAACATGCCTTTCTGCTCCTCAATATGTTCGGATCAAAAATAAGCAGAGAATAAGATGGGAAATTACACTCCAGCACTTTTCTGCTCACTTTGAAATGAGCTGAACAGCAGCAGTAGGACAATAGATATAGAATGAGCTTCTTGATATTAGCTCACACAATTTGGGTAGTATTCTGACTTTGTCTGACTAGCTTAAAACCACACATGATCATATATAGATTATTTTTGGTCTTTGTACATCAGACATATAGATTTCTAGCTCTGCAAAGATTGGTCTGCAGTGGGCAGACCACCTGATGGGATTTTATCTGCTTGCATAGATACACTTTAAATGAATGAGATCCCCTTACTTTTCTCTCAGTTCCTGAAAAAGAAGGTTTAGGTTTGGGTGTCTTAAACAACAGTCTCTTACCAAACCACTGAGTTTCAGAAATTTCTGAGATACACACGAACTACTGTCATTTCATTTTTTTAAAAAAATGAAACAAATTTCATACATGCATGTTTAGATCTTGTCTGCTGGATCTTAATTCTTTTCACATTAAAGATCTGTGAATAAATGTGGGTCAACTTTGAATGATAATTATTATTATTTTTTAAAAAATAGATTCGCAACAGGCTTAATCAAGAACAGAATACTAAACTTCAGCAACAGAAAGAACTTTTGAACAAACGTAACATGGAAGTGGCTATGATGGACAAACGAATCAATGAGCTACGCGAGCGCCTGTACAAGAAAAAAGTTGAGGCACGTCAAAAAGAAAACATCCCTGTAAGATAAACTATTAAAAGGGCCACATTTCAGTGAATTCTGTAAAGCCCAATGAAATACCATTTTTATGCAGCTGTAGCATTCTAGTATCTGGACATACTCTTAAGTTAGTGAGAAATGTATAACTTTTTAAAATATCTATTCGTACCACACACATGTGTGATTAAAATGTGTTATATACGCTGGCAAATCTGGTGTTTATTTTCAGTATTACATAAAAGATTGCAATAGTTGCAATACTATTAAATACATGACAACTTAGAGAGAATGCTCTGTAATCTGAAAAATACTAATTCTTTGCACAGAACGCTCTTATAATTAGAACAGTAAAATAGAAATTGTATTTACTTTTTTATTAAACGTACTTGCCACCCATCTTGCCAAAGGAGAAATGATCTTCTCCTCCTCTCTTGATTTTCCTATCAGCTATCTATTAATATTTCTAGCCACATCCTTCTTGCTTAAAACCGGTAGAATGTGAGCGAGAAGCCTCTGACCATCTCTATCAGGGGTGTCAAACTGGCGGCCCGCAGGCCGGATGTATCACGCGCAGGCCACTCCCACCTCCACTCCACAAAGGCAAAAAATGTTATGATACGTCACGTGACGTAATCGAGTTTGACACCCATGAGATATATCTTGCTGAACCACAATTTGCGGAGCCATCGGTTGTTGTGGCAATCATGAGAGAAATCTGTCAGGTGTGCTTTTGTAACATATGAAAGGCTACAGTTTCTTCAAACTTGCAAATGGAAGAAAATGGATTATATCTGAGATAATGTGTGATCATTCTTTTTATATTGAATGATTTAAGGTTTCCAGAATTGAAAGCATTAATAGTAAGAAATAGAAATTATAAAGATGTGCCTGCCTTTATCATAAAATCATTCTAAAAAACATGCTATCTCTTAAAATGTCCAATAAGAGTGAGATGAAGGAAGTGGAGTAGATGGCACTAATTACTTTTGAGCTTCAGTGAAGCAATTCTAGCTTTTGTTTATTTTTAAAAATGCATATTAACCCACCTTTTGGTTTGTTATTTTTCTAGTTAAATCGAATAAATGGAACATCCTCCCCACAGTCGTCATTGAATGCTTCAGGCAGAGTTGCAGCAGTTGGGCCATACATTCAGGTTCCTAGCTCCAACAACTATGCTGTACCACTTGACCCAGTAAAACCACAGTCCCTCACAATTACTACTAGCACAACTCATGGAAGGTCCAAATCTGGTAAGTAGCTCTTATTGATTCTACTTGTTTTGTGCAGAGGGAGATGATAAAGGAGTATTTCTTTGAGATGGCCCTCTATCTCGTGGGATAAAATATTAAAATAAAACAAAATGGCCCCTGCAACTTTCTTTGATTTTAATAATCTTGAGATAAATATCTCTGTCTTGTATTTCTATTTGGTATCTCTATGGATTTTCTAGATGTGCAGTATTATGCAATTCTGCTATGAAAAGTTAATTGCAAGAAGCATAGAATAAAAAAGTTATGACATGAATATTTTTTCAAAAACAGTAAGATTGCTGTTAAGTCATGTCTATATTTATGCATAAGCTTTTTTTGAAAATTAACTTTTTTTCTCCAGTAAATCAAAAACAATTTCTGAAAAGATTATATACTAAGTATATAAAACAGGTTTATTCAGAATATATCAAATGTCACATTTTTGTTCCTGTAATTTCTGGGGTGGGATTGGTTTTTTTCTTTTTACCTATCATTTATCATTTATTTTTGAATTTTTATCCATAACCTGTTCTTTCTCTTCTTTTTATTTGTGAGTATATCTAGTTATTTACTATACAAACTATAGGTATGGTAGACAAACTCCAGGACTATGGAAGATTTCTGATTTAAACATTATAATTGTATTGTATTCTCTTACCTCTTCCATCTGCTACACACAATATTCACTCAGCACCTATTTGTTCTAAAATTTTGCATTGTGAATTTGTAAATTATTGACAAATTAAGAAATTCTAATTTTAATATGGATATGTGAAGTTGTATATACAGATACATGTTATGGTTTTGTAATATCCACCTGTGTATTTTAGATAAATGTGTATATGAGTTTTTGGGAGGAGGAAAGAAAAGAGAATGATTCAGACATTTCAGTGATTAGCAAATTTTAATACTCTCTTTATATATCTAGAAGAAACAGAATAGCTTGTTAACATTAACTGTGATTCAACTTTCAAAATACTGGGGGTACTCTCTGTTTCCAAAGAAACATGAATGCATGTGTTGTTCATCCCAAAAAATGCTTTTTCAAAAGGCAACTGGACTGTTTTTTCCTTGAGGAAGAAGGAAACAAAATGTTTTGTTCTTCTTCCTCAAGGAAAAAACAGTCCAGTTGCCTTTTGAAAAAGCACTTTTGAGACCTGGATGATTGAGATCTCCATAGACATGCATTGTTCATCCTACCTTTACTTATATTCTCTGCTGTGTTCAAGCTAAACAAATGATATAATTTTAGGAATGTTTTAAACTAATCTTTTTGTAAACCCTAGATGCCTTTCTAACTAGAATAGTTTGGTGATTTCTTTTCTTAAAAATAATTAAATCAGGAATAAAAGAAAGTTCATACTTCCATTCTTGATCTCAGTTATGAATTCCATTGGTAGTTTCAGAAAGCAGGTCACCCATAACAAAGGGCAAAGAAAAATAAAGTTTTCAAATAAAATTTGAGGGTTTTTGGAAGCAGTGCAAAAGGGCTCTGTCACTGTCTTCTAGGATATTTTCTCAACTTCTTAATCTAGTTATAACCGTTAGAATTTCTGATGGTGTCTTCTAATCTAGTAATAACCAAGTTTTAATTTTTTGAGGTTGGCCATCTGTTGCCACATAACTGGGCACCAATAGGGCAAACTATTTTTCAAACTGAAGAGGCTTTGAAACTGCATTGTCTTAGGTTTATTCTGTGTGACTATGTGCATATGTCTCGCCTGTTATGTGTCAGTCGTCCCATTGACACATAACAGGCTCTTTAGGATGACCAAGAGTGTAGCTTTATTGAAAAATCCATCTAGGCACAGCAGAAGCAAAGTCAGTTCTGGGAGTTTCCCGCAAATGCCCACATAGGTAAAACCTCTTTTTCCCCTCCAGGCCACTCACAGTTCATAGTTTACCAATTGAGTTCAGTTCTTTTGTTTTGGGGAAAACTGTCTGTGCCACTCAAACATTCTTCATAAGTTGACCTTGGCGGATAACGTCTTGCTGGCAGCAGAAGGCTCTCGTGCATTCCACCCCCTTCCCTTGGGAATTCACCACCCTCCTCCTGTCACTGGCAAACTGCAAGCGGAAGGCAGGTGCAGGCAACTATGGAGTCAAGTTTGACATTATGAAAATGAGGAAAAAATTCTCATGACTATTACTTTAATTTTTTTCATATAATTAAAGTAAAACCTAGAACTACACCAGTATACAGCTTGTATTTGAATATATTGGATATTATGCTCTGCAGCTTATAGAATGCAGAAATAACTGACTCGATTCATCTTTTAACATTCAGTCATTTTTTGCAGTAGGTATTCTGCTCTTGTGTTTTGCTAATAGGTCTTGGAATTTTAGTAAAAAAAACAACACAGACTCCACAAGCCAGAATTCTGCCTTATCTCTATTCTATATTTTAATATATATTCTGATATTAAATTGACTATGAAACTTTCCAAGACAGATTTTAAACTATAGATTTGAGGTCACTTTTTTAAGATATGTGTCTAAATTAAAGCAATCTTGTCAGCATAATGTATTTATATTTATTAATATACATTCATATACAGTATTTGCTTCCAGAAATTGATTTCAAGGTGGCTTATAATCCTACGTGAGATTTTTTTACATGTGAAAAAAGTTCTTTAAATATGGAACATATTTTGGCTGCTGCTTCAGCTATGATTTAAAAACCACAACATTTCCTCATATTAGGCAAGCAGGCATGAAGTCAATGTGATTGTTGTTGTAATGGTGGGGTGGGGGGGTTGAGTAGTTAGAGAAAGTTGATCTTCTGATTCTTTGTACTACTAGATGATGGTAATAGGTGGTCATGGACAATATCAGACCTTGATGTCAGACCTGAATACAGCTCTACATGGTATCCAAGAAACAAAACTAATCAGTTTTGGAAATGTATGTTTTACAAACCATAATATATTTAAACCAAATATATTCTTCAATGATTTTAACTCTCCAATCAAAAATCAAGTCATTTTATTCTCAACTGATTACTTTTCAGCATGCTAAATTTAAAGATAAATCTATAACATTTAAAATTCTAATATAAATTTTAATATTGTTATTCCATTTTTTGCATTCTAGTCAGCTTCTTGAAAGGTTTATATTTCTGAGAAGATATTTAATTAAAATAAGATTATTTAGTAATTGATAATATAAACATTGGGTGATTGAGTAGAGGATCACAAAATGGATATTTAACGACAATTGAAAATCATGCTTGTGGATGTGTATGGGAAAGAAATGTAGTTATTGTCAGATTATCAAAACTATAAGAAAATACATATTTTAATGGTATAGAATTTCTCTGCAGTAATGCTACATTCTCATTTATTAACTAAAAAGTGTGGCTTTTTGCAGCTTTAATTTAAATAAGTTAAATTAAGACACAGAATGGTATATTCTAAGTTTCATTTTCAGCAGAATGTTTTCCTGGAATTCATGTACAGTAACATGAATAAGTTTGTGAGCAACGGTGAATATGGGAGTTGCTTATTTTTAGAATAGAATGTTTACCCCAAACATACCCTTCAATATGTGTGTGTATGCTCATGGTCTTGCACAAGCTGAGTATAAGGATCTACTGTTTCTTCTGCTTCTTTGCACAATCAGTCTTTTTTCTCCTTAGTAATATAATAAGTTATTAAACTTGCATGATGCTGATTCGGGCACTCACAACAATCAAAGACATTACAGTAAAACTGATAAAAGATAAAGATAGAAGTTAAACATGGCAAGTGTGACAGACAGATGGAACGAAGCAAGAGGTCTCATTCTCTCCTTCCCCAAAGGTCTGAGTGAAGAGCTGGGCCTTCATGGCTCTTCTAATAACATCCTAAGACTGACAAAGGACCAATTCACAACTGTAATTTGTAACAATGAACCAGAAAAATTATATGAATCAACTTAAATTCAAGTTAATTAACATTACTTAATAATAGTACTAAATTAAGGGATATTAAAGGGTTATTTGGAACAGATAGCCTACACAATTCTACACATGCTATTAGTTGTTGAAATCCTCTCCTAAACATTTACAATTAAAAAGGAGAGTCTTTTATATTTGACTATACCAGTGATGGCGAACCTTTTAGAGACTGAGTGCCCAAACTGCAACCCAAAACCCACTTATGCATCGTCGAGTGCCGGATGGGTGTGGCCCATTGGCTGAGTGTGGCCAATTGGGTGGGCATGGCCAATTGGGTGGGCGTGGCTGCCGTGGTAACGGCAGACTGGGTGGGACTAAAAAGTTCAATCAATCAATGCCAACTTTGCAAGATCTTTTTTTTTCCGCGAGAAGTTGAAATTGACTGAACCTTTTTTTTTTTTTTTTGCACACGGCAGCAGAGGCCTAAAGCAAAAAGGTTTTATAAAACCCAGCTGAAGGCCTAGAACTGGAGCAACAGCGCGCGTGCCATAGGTTCGCCACCACTGGACTATACCATGACTTGCTATTCCTACATGAGTATTGTACTACATGTAATTAATTACATTTTGGGGAAATTCTTCTTTAAAAATTCTTGCAATTACTATTTTATTAGATTCAATTTAGATTCCATGAACGGAATTTCTTTTCTTTTCTCAGCACAAAATCATGATTAAAAAAATTGGGGAGCCCTGCTTTTGGCCTATCAAACTAAAAATAGGTACAAATTTAAGGCAAAAATTCTTAATGAACTTAATATGCTTAGACATTTTAATGCCATTAAATATTTTGATAATTCTGTTTTAAGTAATTTCTAACTCTAGAATTAATGTCATGGCCTTATTTAAATTGCACTCTTAAGCAAGCAAAATGGCACAATTCATTGGGCAAAACCACTGATTATAAATGCATTAACTATTTTGCCCCTTTCAAGAAATGACCATAGGAGAGAATTTCAACATGTATAGCTGATTATGATAGAATTGCTTTTTTATCAGCTATTAATATGCTTCAGAAACTGTGTCTTCTGAATGTAGCCATTTTAAATAAGTAGTTATTTTGACATGATAATGTTTATAGCCTCTTGTAATTTGATCATGGTATGGAATAGAACAATGCATAAATAATGAACCTTTAGAATTAAAAGTACACCTGTTTTTTTACTTCTCTTTTATTACTTTTATTTCCTTAATGTAATTTTTTTCTAGATCTATTTGATTTATTCCACAAGCATATCTTTAATGAAACATTTTTCTTTCTTTCAAGCTAATGATGGAACGTGGCCTGCACTTAAACAAACTGCTGTGGTAAAACCACCACAACTCTCTAATACAGACTGGAAGGAATCAAACATGGATGCAAGTTTAAAACAAGGAACTATATCCAGTCAACCTTTGTCATCTTCAGGATTAGGAAGTACTGATAAACTGGTGGGTTTTTCCTTCCTTCCTTCCTTCCTTCCTTCCTTCCTTCCTTCCTTCCTTCCTTCCTTCCTTCCTTCCTTCCTTCCTTCCTTCCTTCCTTCCCCTCCCTGCCTCTCTCCCTCTCTCCCTCCCTTTTGCTTCACATAATATTAAAAATTTCATTGCTTGTACAACTTGGTACAGAATCTCTATACAACTCATTTGTTAAAATGTTATACTATGGAGCTCCTTGGCAAAATTTTATGCATCTTGTCATTAGATTTATATTTCAGTTACCTAGTTTTCAGTGTGGAATAGAGCAGTCTAACCAGCCTTTTAAAACGTTTTTTTCCTAGAGTCTTGATGTGGGCAAAATGCCACCAACTATTCCTGGTGTAAATAAACAATTGCCTCAAAACTATGGGACCTATCCAAGCTCTGTTCCTTCAGGACCAGGTTCCACTAATTCCTTGGAAAGACGAAAAGATGGCAGCCTGCCAAGGCCTAGTTCTACAGCAGTGAACCGGCAAAGACCTATTCCTTTACCACCCACAAGTGGCATTCACCAACCAGGTTCTTCACAGCAGATACAGCAGAGGATATCTGTGCCTCCAAGTCCAACATACCAACCTTCTAATGCACCATTATTTCCAGGCGGTGATAGCAGGCCTGATCTCCCTTTAACAGTGGCCATTAGGCCTTTCTTAGCTGAAAAAGGTTCAAGACCCCAGTCTCCTAGGAAAGGGCCTCAAACTGTGAATTCAAGTTCCATATATTCAGTCTATCTGCAGCAAGCAACTCCACCAAAGAACTATCAACAAGCTGTGTATAGTACGCTAAATAAGTCAGTTAAAGCAGGTAGAATAATTTTATGCTACTTTTTCTGGCTATGCTTTAGAAGTTGCAACCCTTTAAGAATCAGACTTGGTTTGTTTAACAGTTTAATAATTGTGAACAGTGATTCTGAGATGTATATCAAAAAGAGATAAGAAGATATGCCTGTATGTCTGTATATAGTGGGGTCCTTGGTTCTCTCTGAGCTTGATTGTTTTCTTGTAGACATTTCCAAACTAAGTAACATTTTTAAATTTATTTATTTGTATCTCACCTTTATTATTTTTACAAATAACTCAAAGCGGCAAACATATCCACACAACTGTGTGAGGTGAATTTGGCTGAGAGAGAAAGTCACCCAGCTGGCTTTCATGCCTGAGGTGGGACTAGAACTCAGTCTCCTGCTTTCGAGCTTGGTGTCTTAACCCAGGGGTCTTCAAAGTTGGCCCTTTTATGACTTGTGGACTTCAACTCCCAGAATTCCTTAGCCAGCGTGCCTGGCTGAGGAATTCTGGGAGTTGAAGTCCACAAGTCATAAAAGGGCCAAGTTTGAAGACCCCTGCCTTAACCACTAGACTGGCTCTATTAGTGCTAGTAGGAACTGGAGTTTGTTCTCATTTCAGTGTATGAATATATGAAATAAAAAGACATTTTAATGTCTCTGTATATATAAAAAGCCTTGGTGAGACTTAGTTTAGTTTAAAAGAGGATAAAAAGGAAGATCTAGAATGATAATAGAACTAGGATTAAAATGTATCTTGACCCTCAAGGGGAGAAAAGAAATGATTAACTTTTTAATTTCTCTCATTCACACTTCTAAAAAGCACTTAACCTTTGGTGTGATTATTTGTTGTGATTCCTGTTTAAAATATGTCTTATCTCTGTTTATGTGCCTGTTGCAGGGGGCTAAAATAAATCAAACATGGGAAATAATCAGACATGTTTGGCCTTATAATTTCTTTCTCTTCAGGATACTTCAATTTCTGAAGATTGTAGAAGGGATTGGAGAGTTATATATGTGTATTAGGAAATATTACAAAGTCAACCACTGGCATAAGTAATTTTGATTTTTTTCATTTAAAATTATATATAATTCTATTTTACTTTTAACTGTCCCTCTCTTACCTTTTCTTCTCAGTCTATGGGAAACCTGTTGTACAGTCTGGCTCAACATCTCCTTCACCACTTCCCTTCCTTCAAGGATCTTTGCCTGCCAGTACATCACAGTCTCAAGCACCAAATGATATGAGTGAAAAAGACCAAGAGCAGGAAGTCACTCCATCCTCTGGTGATAACAGTAATGTAGAAAACATTCCTCGTCCTCTCAGTCCAACAAAGCTCACTCCTATTGTTCATTCACCCCTTCGTTACCAAAGTGATGCTGATCTTGAAGCTCTTCGCAGGAAACTTGCCAATGCTCCCAGGCCTTTGAAGAAGCGAAGTTCTATCACAGAGCCAGAGGGCCCCAGTGGACCAAATATTCAAAAACTCTTATACCAGCGCTTTAATACCTTGGCGGGAGGAATAGAAAGTGCCCCTTTTTATGAGCCAAGTAACTCACAAGATTTCATCGGTACCTTGGCAGATGTTGACAATGGAAATATGAACACTAATGGCAATATTGAGGATCCAGTTTCAGTACCTTCTACAGTTCCTCTTTCTGATGAGCCTTCATCAGATGCTAACGATAATGAACTACCTTCTCCTGCAACTGAGGAGTTGATCAGTGTAGAAACTATAAATCAAATTCCTGAGACAACTGAGGATGATAACAACAACAACCCTGCTGTGGCTCCTCCTGTTGAGCGGCCTCCTAGTCCAATACCCATGGGCAGATCCCCAGATGATGAAGAAGTGCAGGTGCTACCTGTTCTTCCTCCTGCACCTCTGCTTCCTGTGGTAAGTTACAGCAAAACAAACATATTTTTAATAAGTGTGTTTTTAATTTGTTAATGCCGTTATGTCCTTTCTATAGCAAACTTCTCCAGTGGTGACTTAACATGTGACTTGGAAGGCTGAAAGGATATTTCATCAGTCAAATAATGTTGGCTTGCTACAGCTTAACAATATTCCTATTTCGGCATCCTTAAATAAATTGACAGGAAGTCTAACAGTTCGCTGATGAGCTGTATCTGTCTTTTATGAATCATAAATTAGAGGCCATACTTCAAAACTTTCTGTTGTGGGTTTATGTTCCACAATCCAGTCATAGCCAACAAAAGTGGGTCATACCAATAACAACACATTTTTAAGCAGGAGAGAGAGAGAAATGTAATAAAAAGCTGAGTCTCTCTGTAGTGGTTGAAGATTAACATCCTAGAATAGCCCAAGTAGATTTTCAATTGTATTGAGAGAATATTTAAGTATTTATACATACTTAAAAGAAGGTAAAGATCAAGTTGGAATACATCTTATATTTGTTCTTCCTCATGTTCATTTCTAGCCTCTGGCAAATTAGAAATGAAAATTGAATCTTAATTAGCTCATAGATAATGAGATAGTGAGTTGAGCGGTATATAAATTTAATAATGAAGAATGAGATAGCAAGATATATACATTTAATATATGTAATGATATATAAATGTAATAAACACATAAAATTAGGATTTCGATAAATTGAATATTATCACAATAAAGTAATTTAAAGATAACTCTCACAATGTTGTTCAGACGAAAAGGACCAACCTGAAGAAACCAGACTCAGAGAGAACTGGTCATGCCTTGCGGGTAAAGTTCAATCCCTTGGCCCTGCTATTGGATGCCTCACTAGAGGGAGAATTTGATCTAGTGCAAAGGATCATATATGAGGTAAGCTTGGAAATAGGATCAAATTCATCAGGCTTTGTTTAATAAATAAACAAATGTATGTTTCATGTAGTCATGCCTGTTTTTTTCCCTAGGTGGATGATCCCAGCAAACCTAATGATGAAGGAATCACCCCCCTGCACAATGCAGTTTGTGCTGGCCATCACCACATAGTTAAATTTTTGTTGGATTTTGGGGTCAACGTTAATGCAGCAGACAGTGATGGATGGTATGGTATTAATATGTTATATTAATAACCCTTCTAACAATTGGAGAAGAAAAACTAGCAGCCAGATGCTAGTTGGTTTCATCTTAGCATATATATTTATATCCTTTATTTCCTTTATTTATACTGATTTTCCAATACCTTCTTTGTTTCAGGACTCCTTTGCATTGTGCTGCCAGTTGCAACAGTGTTCATCTCTGTAAATTACTTGTTGAATCTGGAGCAGCAATTTTTGCTTCAACTATAAGTGATATAGAAACTGCAGCAGATAAATGTGAGGAGATGGAAGAAGGATATATTCAGTGTTCCCAGTTCCTATATGGTAGGTTTCATGTTTCCCTGTAGAATTTGAAGATTCGTAACTTAATAATGTATCTTCTCAGCTCATTTCAAGATCTATATTAGTATTTACATTATTACAAAAATTATTTATTTTGAATATTTGCGCACATAGACATAAATTTTCATGAACAGTACTCTTTCTTATCTGAATTTGATTGTGTAAATGGAGAGATGAAAAACCTAAGTTCACTTGCCATCTGTCCCAATCTGTGCCCTTCAGATGTTAAGAGTGCAGTACAACCCCCACAATATTGACAGATGAAGAAAGCTTTTGTTTAGATTGGTCGCTGTAACAGTTGGTAGGAATAATAGTTCCTCTTCCTTTGCGCAGTACTTTGACTTTTGTTTAAGATTTCAGGTACCTGCCACTTTAAAATATCACCTTTACATAGTATGGCCAGTGGATAGACAGGACTAAATTCTCTCAAAGAAAATGTTTGTATGCAAGTATTATGTCAGTATGTGAGAGGGCTTAAATGAGAATGGAGAGATTATAAAGCAGATGGATATATTATTTTCCCATATTCATTTCTATCTTTGAGGGAGTTTGGCTGTTAAGAAATAGGAAATATAGTCTTTTTATTAGAAATGAGATCTGATGAGATCTGATTTTAGGAGACATTTACTTTTTTGCTCTCATCACTGGGCTGTATTTTTAAGACTTATCTGGGTTAGAAACAACTGCATCAAAGAAAGATCATTGGAATTTACTTCTCCAATCAATAGGAATTTCTTCTCTGGGCACCAAAATATTTGCACTATATAATACAAATATGCACTAATCATACCAAGTAGTAAGGGAAGAGGTGGGTTCTTTAGAGCAGCGGTCCCCAACCTTTCCACCTCTGTGGACCAGTGGAGATGGCGGGAGGGGGAAAGACAGGATGGTTCTGCACAAATGTGTGCGCCCACTGCTTGCACAAATGGAGTTGCATGCGCATAAGCTTGCCTTTTTTCCCCCTTTTTTTGCCTGTTACTCAACAAGTGCTCTTGATTTCTTAGCAATTTTTGATACTATCAATCACAGTATCCTTCTGGACCAACTGCAGGGGTTCCAGTGGGTATTGATGGAGAGAGATCATATTTTAGCCCTTCACATGTGGGGATGCTTTTCCCTCCCTTCCTGTTTAACATCTACATAAAGCCACTGGATAAGAGCATCTGCCATTTTGGGGTTCAGTATTACTTAGCTCTACATCTCAACTTTGAGATGCATAGTTGAAGCTATCAGTGTACTCAGTTTCTGGAAGCTGATCAGGTCTGGAAGGGGGAGAATAGACTTCATTCAATCCTGATAAGACATAGTGACCATTATTGATATTGGCTGGAGCTGCATTTCTCCGTTCAACTTAGGGTCCTTCTGAAATTATAAATACTGTTCAAGTAGCAGGTGGCAGCTCTGGCCAGGGCTTTTGCACAGGTCTATCTTGTGTGCCCACTGTGCTCCTTCCTTACATGGCAGGCCCTTCTGATAGTTATTCATGCCATGATCATCTCACAAATGGATTATTGCAATGTAATCATGGGGCTGTGCTTGAAGATCACCTGGAAATTACAGCTGCTTCAAATATGGAATAGGATGTAAATATCTGAAAGAATGCTTGTCTCCATTTCTGCACAATTCGGATATTTCAGCAGAGTGGTTGCGTTCCAGGTCCCCTACATTAAACTTCCTCTTCTTGAGGGCCAAAGGAAACAAGATATCAATTTTTAAAAATGATTTTTATTGTTTTATTTTTTACTGCCCAGAGTCAGTTGGAGTTTATACACCACCCAGAGTCCATTGGAGTTGGGGATTTCATAAAATCAAATAAATGAATAAATAATGCTGCTGCTATTTTTACTGATGAAGCAGTGAAGTAGGGATAGGTTATAATTATGCAAACTTTACATTTTTGTTCCTACTGGCCAGAAGCAAGGGATTTTATATTTTATATATTATATAAATTATGATTAAATTTTAATTTCATAATTGAAAGTATACAGTTTCTAATTTCAAATTGTTCATTTTTTGTTAAAACATTTGTTAACAGGTGTACAGGAGAAGTTAGGAGTCATGAACAAAGGCATAGTTTATGCCCTGTGGGATTATGAAGCTCAGAACAACGATGAGTTGTCATTTCATGAAGGAGATGCACTTACAATTTTGCGACGCAAAGATGACAATGAGACAGACTGGTGGTGGGCTCGGCTCAATGAGAAGGAAGGCTATGTGCCTAAAAATCTCTTGGGGGTAAGTATGATACATATTTTATCCTAAGTTGTGACATAGTGCCCAGGCTGAATATACAATTGTTCATACCAAAGCCATTACAAATTATGGTATTTATTTTGAAAAGGAATAACCACATTAGAAACCATTAACACCGATGAGTAATCTACAGCTTTATAATATATTTTGCTTCACCTTCTAATAGCTTGAAATAGTTATCATAAAGCCTACCATTAGAAAATAATTACATGTGCAATTACCATAGTGTAAGAGTAATCCATATGAAGGGCTAGAGAATCCTTGTCAGTGGAAGGAAACTTTCATGGTTTCTGTGAACTATGTAGTTCTCCCCAATCTCAGGAGTTTTTGCTTTTAAATAATCAGAATAGTAATATATCCATGCAGTAATCTCATGCACACTGTATTTTATTCTTTCTTTACATTAGTTACTAAAGAAGATGCTAAGAGCATCAGAACCTTTTTTGCAAGGTGTTAAGTGAACCAATTGTATGCTAGGGGCCAGTTTTGCCAAAACCTAGAAATAAATGCTGGGTTTTGGCAAAACCCATAATAAAATGCAGTCACATGACCATGAGGCACTGCAAATGGCCACTTGCCTAGTGCCCAAAATGCAGCCATGTGACACACACACACATCAGATTCAGAGTGTAAGTACCCTGGAGAGGTCACTAAGAAACCAGTCATAAGTCAAGAACTGCTTGTAGTAGACTTCTGTAAACATTGCCAGGCTTTTTTGATCACATCTGATACAATAGGTCCTCTCATCCAACAATTACACTTTGGAAGTTTGTGTTGATGACCATAGATTCTTAACTAGTAACTAAACCATTTTCCTCAAAACTCATTCCTTCTTTCTGTTAGTTCTAGATATAACTGTGTCAAAATTGGTGATTGATGGTTCTCAGGCTACTTTGCAGATTTAGCTGCAGATGGCTTTTTTGTTTATAAGTTGTTCGGCCACTCAAAAGGGAGGGTTTTTTTTGTCCCTGACAAAGGGCTTGAAAAACATGTCAGCTGTCATAATATGGCAGAGCAAAAAGAAAAGAAAGATAAGGCCCATGGTTTGCTCCAGAAATTTCTGTGGTGATCCTAGAAAAAAGCAATTAGCAAGAATTATGCATATATATGCAGATGTTTGTGGGAGAAAGACTCATGCCAAAGTTTATTAAAGCTTTCAAAGGTTTTGATCAGAGCTCTGCATGGGTACAGAGTTTATGTGAATTCACTGATGATCACTTGAATATCTAAGTTGCAAGTAGATAACTGATTATTTTCAGGAGTTTGGAGAAATGATTAGAAGTAAAAAATGCTAATACTGATTGCACTTTAAATCCAGAAAATGACTATGAATATAAGTTTCACATGGGAAAATGGGTATTCTATATCTTGGCTCCCCCTCCCTTCTTTTTAATGAAAATTTGTGCTTTCTGTACAAAAGCCAGAACCCATAACTTTATTTCACTGCACTCTTCACTGTTTCTTCTGATATCAGGCAAAGCTGACAAGAACAGCATTCCTTAGATATTAGTAACTTATAGTGGCATTTGAAACATTCCAAAGTAAAAGTCAATAAATTTATGATGTACTAGCTATATCTCTTCGCATTACTTTAAGCAAACCAAGATATACAGTATAGTATAGTATACTATAGTAACAAGTGATTTTATTTCTATAAAAAAGCCAAGAAGTATTTTTCATCTCCTCATACCCATTTTTTTATAATGCTTCAGAATTTCTAGAAATATTACAGCTTTGTCCTTACATGTTCATCATTCTTTTGCACTTTAAAGTTTACTTCCAATTTCATGTTATTGCAGTTATACCCAAGGATAAAACCAAGACAGCGAACACTTGCCTGAATCACTTGATTTGTCAATATTTTTTCCTGGGAACTGAAAGATGGAAAGTATACACTGGAGACATTTGCAATTACATTTCACCACAAATTAAAGCTATTCTTGTTTTAAATGGTGCTCTTGTTTAATATGATAGACAGCATTTGAGATTTTCGATCTGCAGTTTGTAAGTGAGGTCTGCTCCATATTAATATGCCAATCATTGAGAGAGGTACTCAAACGGTCTACAGTATTTTTTGCCAATTGAATTAAAAGTGCTAGATGTTAAAACCTTTGTAAAATGCAGATATGCTGTCTACTCTGTCATAGTTCACTGTAGCTGCCCTGTTATGTCAAGAACATTACAATTAAAATATTCAATTGAATGTTGATTTTAATGTGTAAATCCTTAAAGATCTTGTAAGAGTTGACAAGTTGAGAGTAATGAACAATCTTCTGATATAAAAGGTGTTTCTGACACAACAGAGAAGCATTTATGCTGAATAGATTTTGCACACTTCTAAAAACTGCACTTGTTCCTTCACTTGATGTTTCTGCTTGATATTCTGCTTACAGTACAAATTTATCTTCACAATATTCTATTACCATTCCTCAAACACATCCTGACTTCTATTTCCTTGACAATCCTGATTTAAGGAACTTGTATGTCTTATGAAAGAAAAGTGCAATAGTTGGAAATGGTAAGAGGTAGGTTATAAAAGCTAGATGATTTACTTTAAGGACATTTAAATTTTATTTGTGAAAGTAGGAAGGTGATTAAAAGGTTGAATAAAAAGATATGTTGGTTCAATAGACTGAGGCTGAGAAAGGAGAGATGGTATACTTTTTGGACTGAAATAGTATCTGTGATTCTAGTGACCCTGCTTACCAGGGTGAGATATGCAATAAACCCAGTATCTACTTTCAAGCGAAGAAGCACTTCACTGGAATACTAATTGTACATGGTTTTATATACAGAAGTCTATTTTGAACTTCCCATTATGTTGTAACCATGCTTGTTTTTTTGCCAGTAAATTCTAGACCAATTGGCTTTATTCATTATACATTGTGCATAATTTATAACCATTCATGCAGTGCTGTGACTTGCTTTTATTATTGTTTAGCATCAATTGTATATATTGTGTGATGAGAAGTGAAAGGGTATTGTAAAAGAATATTTGCTAAATGAAATTAAAAGTTAAAAGCCTGCAATACACTGCTAATCCAGTGTGCACAATAAACTACTACTAAGATATTGTTGACATTTTGGGTGTTTGTTTTTAACATGTATGATTTTTCTGAAAGTCATTTATGAAATTTTCATACAACACATCTTACATGCGTTATGCTGTTATATATTCTCTGAATGTCCTTAAGAATAATGTGCTAAATCAAGTCTTCAAACAGAATTCTTTAGAAACTTTCTGTATTTGTATTTAACTTTTACAGTTTTCCTGCTTAATTTGTACTTTATTTATTTATTTATTTATTTATTTATCGAATTTATATCCCGCCCTTCTCCTTGCGGACTCAGGGCGGCTATCAATCAATTTAAAAATACATCAAAAACAATTACAAAATACTTGATTTCATATCAAGTTCAAATTGACAACACCAATCTACATATTACTTAAATGAATTCTCAGTAGTGCTACATCAGACAAGCTTACGTAGTATTTAATAAGATTTTATTAGCCAAATCTCAAATTATCACAAAACATGTCTATAAAATCTCAAAAACAATTTTGCTGACAGTTTCATTCAAAAAGGCCAATTTATACAGCACTATTTGTAGTATTTGGTAAATCTTAATTTTACAACAAAAAAAACCTTTAATCTCATGATACAAACCCCTCACCAGAAGACAGGGAGATTCTATATAAAATAATACCTAAGGTGGATTTGATAGATCATTTGGCTATCTGGGGGGAAAAACCTGAGATCTACATTTCTGAAGAACTTTTTTCTGGAACAGTGAGGATTGGTTTTAAGTGAATTACATAATTTGCATTATAAAAGTTGTGCTATATATTTAGCAATAGTGCAGGTCACACTTCATTTTACATATTAAGTGCAGATAAGATTTAACAAAATAAAGTTGTAGATGCAGACTTGCAGTGGTCTATTTAAAGCATTAATAAACTGTATACATATTGCACACTAAATAAGTGAATACTTATAGGTCCAAATACTCACATTATAATTGGCCAGTGCTCACATGATGAACCACATTTAACGTAGGAAAGGAGGAAGGGAAAATCCCTATACCATGTGTAAATAGCAAGTAGTAAGCTTATTTTTAGAGCAAATCTTTTCCCCTCAATTCCAAAATATTCCCTATTGTTCCCGAGATTCATAAAGAAGTTTTGCTGCCTGTAAGATGACAAAAAAGGAAGAATAACATATGAATTGTCATTGTCTGAAGCTACTGGAATTGCACATGCAATTTAGCACTGGGGCTCAATTATTTCTGAATGCATTCAAATTGTTATAATAGAAGAAAAACACAAAGCAAGATATGCTAAATGTTAAGATTCTGATTCATCAAATGGCACATGGAAAATTTTGTAGAATTTCATAAGATAAATAAATATGATTCTCTTTATATGAAAATCTGTACACAAACATTTATGTTGGTTTATGCCATGATACAGATAGTCCTCAACTTATTACCATAATTGGAACCAAAATTTCAATCTTAGTCACTGCAGTTGTAGGTCGAGACTAGACCCATCTTTTTACATTTTTTTGCAAGCCATTAAGCTAAACAGCAGCAGTTAAACAGATAAAAAAAGATTGCAAATCATGGTCAGATGACTGCAAGGCACTGCAACTAGCCACAAAGGCAAAGCAGTTGCAAAATGCCAAAAATGTGATCACATGACTGTGGGAGGATATTGCGACATTTTACAGCAGCTACAGTAGAAGTGCCTAATTACCATGGGATTGGGTTAACAATGGCAAACAGGATGGCAAACACTGCCAGCCTAAATGATGCAGTCATGTTGTATGACCACATTATTAACAATGGAAATTCTGGTCTCTGTTGCTGTCATAAGTCAAAGACTACCTCAACTTAGTATTTAACTAATAGTCTGTGGTAGCTAAACATCACTCTTTTAAAAGATGTGGTTTTGATTACAATGGCATACCTGCCATCCTGACTCTGAACTTCAGTGGATTCTCCCGGTAGAAGAGACCATTGCTAACACCATGTTTCTTGCCAATTTCCTATTGGCATTTTGGATGCTGATAACTGAACAGTGGATTAGGTTTATCTAAAAGTACTCCTATAGGCGTTTAAGGCATAATTTAATTAACAATTGCTTTAGTTACCTTATGCATTGCTGCTAGCCAGGTAGCTGCTAGCTTTTTATTGGAATTGAAATCTTCACCAGCAGTAAATTTAATCTGTTTGAATTCATCTGATCCTGGTATTTTGTACTGAAGTAGCATACCTGTAGCACGAGTATTGCCTCCTAAGGG